AAATATTGGAAGACAACTCCTTTCATGTCTGAATAAGAAGGGTAAACACGGTACACTTGACAAGGGGTAAAGGAAGGCATTTACGCTTGATACTGCTTGTTACAACCCATTTCAGAACAGTTGATTTACCAAGGCACCGATTAATGCACAACTTGTTAGGAGTGACGAATTTTGTAATAGTGCATCACACCGGATAACTTATTGTATGAGAACCTATTAGCTAATGCCAAACACCAGCTAGAGTGAATTATTCACAAGTACAGCATTGTTAGGCAATTCCGTTCTTATGCAGGTCCTGTTGTGCGTGATGAATGATGTATCCTCACTGATACCCTCAAGAGACACGATACCAGAACCACATTTGTAATTCGTAACGTGTTTTGTTGTCAATGTGTGCTTTAATATCCGGTGAAACGGCTGCGAAGGCTGTCTGTCTGCGCCACGTATCCACGTCCGTATTTATCTGAGGCAGCCTTCAAATGAAAAAGAAGAGAGGTTGTCCAATAGCCCTAAAGTCAACACAACTGGATTCAACTAGAGAAGAAATTGAGAAAATGCTGTGATTTTATGCCTCTTCACGCCCGCGAATGATCGACCCTGAGACGGAAACACATATTAACTGATCTGGAACACATTGTTTAGCATACAACTGCGGAATTTCGGTTGTTGTTGATCATGTCACTATCAACTGGACAGCAGTGCCGCGGTGCGAACAGATGTTTGGTTACTCTATGGCAAAGAATTACATGTAGTCCAAATGGAACCTTGGGATTATGTTTATATTCAAGGATTCAAACGGAAACTTGTCTAAGTGGTGCTTGGGATGTTGTTTGAACGAAAATCCATATTATTCATTACAGAGTAGGAAATAAGGGCATGTGACCGTCGGTGGGCTTTCCTGCATAGTTTTGACATACTAAGTAACATATATTTATTGTAGTGACGCCCTTTTCACAGACGAAGTAACCGGTGTGCTGCTTTACTTGTCTGATAAACGGTCTTGAAGGTGAATTGCAATGATGCAATTAAACAACGGATATGTGCTCTCGTCATTAGACGTCAGTTGATCACTTTTGGTTAGCGTTGTGTGCATTTCTTTCATGGCCTACTTCAGATGACCAGCAGCGTAACGATGACAAACACACTCGTAAAGTTTTGGTCAACATAATAATAGCCATAACTGCATCCATTTAATAGGGAATTATGTCATTTCGTATATGTGCAATTGAAGCTCTAGGGAGGATGCTGTTGCAAAGCGCTTGTCCTCAGCATACGACAGATGTCTGTCAACTCAAGGCTTGCGTCCCGGCTATCTTGTATAGTGTTCTGCAAACATAATCGTGGAACTGAAGTCAGTGTAGTTCCATTAATTGGCAATTAGGGTTGAAGACGGAGCAGACTTCGCACCAATATGTTTGTTTGCGTTAAAGTCACCTTCACTTTCTGAACCATTTCGCGGTATATATGCTCAATATTCGAAGGTCCCTACGGTTGGCATGCGTCCTCTGGCAGAGCAGTTAGCAAAAATGTGATGCACTTATATGGTATTAATATCCACACAATAATGTGTTAAACTAAAAATTTCAGATACCGCTGGTTAGTGTTCCAGACGGCGGCAAAAGGCTGTGCACATTTGCTCGATGATTACCGCAGTGCTTGGAATCATACGCTATCCGTGAATATTTTGCGGCTGTCTGACGACTTCCACTGTTTGTGTATGCTTTGTGACATATTAAGTAATATTAGAATTTTATTGTACAATTAAAGGTTGCTTGCAGAATGCTGAAATGCTTATTAATTGTGTCGGTCTGGCCCAACGCATGTTACTATACACGCGGTCCAATGCTGAATGCAATACAAGGGTTTTGCGGGAGCCAGGCACTCAAATTTTTGCAGGAACGGGTTTGGCTACTAAGTTTCCTCGGCACAACCGCTCATGTTAAAGGAATACATAAGAACAAGGAGCGAAATTGTAAATAAATGTGTGAAGACTGGGTTAAATTAGTAAAAGATGAATACAAACAAGCAAAACTGCACATAACGATGTGAGAATGATGCAGGTGGATTTAAAAGAAAAGGAATTGGACGGAAAAGCAATATTAATGTACATGCATATAGATATAAAAGAGTGCACAAAAATTCTTTGCCCGACCAAGTAGTAAATGGAGTGAATAAAAAAGTAACATTATTTTATATTAATAGCATATCTTGGTAGTATCAACGCAAAGTCTCAACTAAATATATTTATTCGCTTGCAGGCGACGATCCATTGAACTGAGCTTGGTTGCGTAATTGCTAAAAACGGACAAGTTTGAAAGTCGAGTTTTGATCAAGTACCTGCAGATAAATATCTGAATCCTAAAGAAATCCATATCGATATGTTTAAGACACCTGACAAGGAATCCTCTTCTTATTCCACTGTTAAGCAGTAGGCTGCTACTATAAAGACGGGCATGGAGGGTGCTGAAGTTCAGCCACGGTCTGACCGTCCAAAATGCTCGACATGTGATGGTTCAGTGGAATCGATTCACCGAATGACGTTGAAGCATAGAAAATTATCTATTCCTCAAATAGTTAAGTCTATAGGCGTCAGTTATGGTTCAGTGCGTGCTGTTTTAACGAACACCTTGAGAATGAGAATTCTGACTGCAAGATGGGTACCCAGCATGTGGACACACGATTAAAATTTGAAGCGGGTGGAAAATTCGAGGCAACATTTGATCGGTTTCAAGGCAAATCCTGAAATTTTTCAATATTGTTGTTACCCAGAATGGAAGTTGGTTTCATCACTTTGAGTCAGATTCAAGGATCTGAAGTAAACAGTGGAAGGACCATCAGGTGACTTCCGCGGGAACGGTGATGGTCTCTGAATTCTGGGACGGTGGAAGTATAATCATGATAGACTTCTTGCTGAGCGGTCAGACCATCACAGGTAAACAGTACGCTTCAGACTTACACCAACTGAAGCAAGCAGTCAAAGAAAAGCGGTGGGGAAGCTAGCAGCAGGAGTTCTTTTGCATTGCAACACACCTGTTCACACGTCCCAAGTGGCCGTTTCCGAAGCAGCCATATGAAACTTTGAATTACTGACACACCCGGCTTATACATCAGAGCTGGTCTTATCAGACTTTTATTTGTGCCCAAAACTAAAATATCACCTCCGGGGTCACAGATTTGCCAACGATGAAGAGTCGATTAGTGGTGTGGAGCTATTTTTCGTGGGACTGTCTTCAACCTTCTTTCAGAGAGGGATAGCAATGCTTAGACAACGGTGGACTATGTGTGTTCAAAAGAAAAAGGAAAGTGTCAGCTTATACGCTTCGCTGCCGCGCGACCACCACTAGTCGCGCGCGGGCTGAGTATACCGCGAGGACGCCCACCCCTACGTGTGTTCAACTTATAAGTTATGCTGGATAACAATAAAACACAACCTGGATAGATGGCTTGGTGCTTTAGAGGGTTGCCTATTCCGGGAGCCCAGAGAGCGATTCCAGAAGACAGATCGAGTTGCAGGGAAACTTTTATTGGTTCAGCAAAAGATTCCCTGTTAGCTAGCTGTAAACGAACGACACCGTGGACGCTCTAGCTAGGGAAACGGAGCAGACACAGCACACAGAGCAGTCGCGCGTTGCAACCGAAGCGAGCGCCAAGCAAAAATGGCGGTGAGCAAGTAAAGCATTCGAACTCAGCAATCAGTTCAACAAACCACACCGGTTGCCTAAGTGTACAATTATAGAATTTTTGTTAGAATTTTACACAAGCAAACCGGGGAATCTCCAGACTGCTACATAGCCCTCTCCCAGAAGGGACTGTGTAAGCAGTCCTTCGATCTACGTGAGGACTGTCCGTCGCCGGCCAGACTTCTGCGAGACCAGGTTGTGAAACCCGATGCAGCTGCTGGGGGAGAACCATGCAATCGGACCCTAGCGGGCTCCCACCCGTGTCCTCCCTACGGTGTCGAAACGGTTAAAAAACTGTTTGTGGGGGGGACAGTTAATAAGGTTCACGTAGGCAGTTGAGCAGGAAGTTCGTTCCACTTGCAGTTGACGTGCGGGGATCCAGCGGAAAGAGAAACCGAGGTGCAACGAACCGACGGTGTATATGGAAAGCAAAATGAAAAAGCAGCATAAATGCATAGCAATACACAAAAGAGTGCAAAGCGAAAAACGTGCAAAGCTGTTTTGATGTTTTCAAAAGGTTTTGCTCTTTTTTGGTAGTTTCAAAACGTTTTGGTCTTTTTTTGTGGATTTTCAAAAACGTTTAGTAAGAGCAGAAAATTTCTAAGGCACGTTCTACGTAAAATAGTAAGTGCTAACAAAGTCTGAAAAACGAACTGGAGGCTTGAGTTTCCTACCGCGTCGATTGAGGGTAGGGCGGGTAGGAGTGCTGTCGGTTGTGTTTGTCGGTTCTGCTGGAGCGGACTGACTCGTCTGCGTTTGCGGTGCCGGCTGTGATGGCACGGGCTGTGAGGGTGCTTGTTGCACCGGCGAGTCAGACTTGTCAAGGTATGCTGGCTTGAGTCGATCGACGTTGACCGTCTCAGTCTTACCATTGTAGTCAATGGTAAACGTTTTGTCGCTTCTACGTACGACACGGTACGGACCAGAGTAAGGAGGCTGAAGTGGTCGGCGTACGCTGTCAGTGCGAACGAACACGTGCGTGCAAGTAGTTAACCGTTCGTCCACGTTTGTACGCAAGCTCTGTGCTCTGGGTTGCACAGGCTGAAGCTGTCGCATGTGATGAGATAGGCGAGCTGCGTAGTCGCCATAGTCGAAAGTTGTTGGCGCTTTTGGTGAGACGAGTTCACCAGGTAAGCGTTGTGCGCATCCAAAGACTAGCGACGATGGAGTGGCGTGCAAGTCCGCTTTAATCGTGTTTCTTATGCCTAAGAGAACGAGCGGAAGTGCTTCGTGCCAGGATGTGCTAGATTGGGCACAGAGTGAGGCTTTGAGTTGCCGGTGGAACCTTTCTACCATCCCATTAGCTGCGGGATGTTATGCGGTGGTTCGGTTATGTTGGCAACCAAGAACGTTGAGCAATTTGCTGAAGGATCCGTCAAAGTGTGATCCTCTGTCAGTGATGACTACGCTTGGGCAACCGAACTGAGCTACCCAGCGTTCTAAGAAAGCTTGTGCAACTGTTTCAGATGAGCAGTTGACTAACGGAATCGCCTCTGGCCAACGAGTGAATCGGTCGACACAGGTGAGTAGGTACACGTAGCCTTTGCATGGAGGCAAAGGTCCGACCAGGTCGACATGGACGTGTGCAAAACGAGCGTCAGGAGCAGGAAAGACGCCAAGTGGGCTTTTGGTGTGTCTGTAGACCTTGGCGCGCTGACACCCTAAGCATGCGCGTGCCCAAAGGCGGACATCGCGATTGACGTTGGGCCATATGAAGCGTTCCGTTACGAGCTTCTGCGAAGCACGTATGCCGGGATGAGACAGGTTGTGTAAAGCATTGAAAACTAGTCGACGCATTGAGGTAGGAACTACGGGTCGGGGAGAAGTTTGTGAGACGTCACAAAGAATGGTCCCCTCAGATGAAGCTAGTGGGACTTCACGTAGTTTTAACGAGGTGTTGCGTCGTAGTTTGTCTGTGTCGGGATCAGCTTGTTGGGCAGCAGCCATAGCGTCTAGATCAATGTTGGTGCCAGGCGATAAGCTGATCTGCTGAATGCGTGAAAGCGCATCCGCGACGGGATTAAGAGCACCTGAGACATGACGTACGTCTGTCGTAAACTGAGAAACGTAGTCTAGGTGTCTAGTTTCCCGCGGCGAGTACTTGTCTGTTGCGCCATTGATTGCGTAGATCAATGGCTTGTGGTCGGTGAAGACGGTGAAATGTCGACCTTCGAGGTAGTGACGGAAATGTCTGATACCTAGGTAGATAGCTAACAGTTCCCTACCGAAGGTGCTCTATCGCGATTCGGCAGGTTGTAATCGCTTTGAGAAGAAACCTAGAGGTATCCATCGACGATCGATGCGTTGTTGAAGAACTGCACCGACGGCAGTGTCTGATGCGTCAGTCGTCAGAGAGAGTGATGCAGACGTGTCTGGATGGGCGAGAAGCGCTATGTTGGAGATAGTGTCTTTAAGCTTCTCGAAAGACAATTTAGCGTCGTCTGTAAAGTGAAAAGACCGTTGTTTACCGCGGAGCAAGTCAGTCATTGGTTGGACAATGCTCGCGCAGTTAGGAATAAAGCGTCGATAATAGTTAACCAGGCCAAGGAATCGGCGTAACTGCTTGAGGGAACTGGGAGCAGGATAGTCCTTCAGTGCCTGGATTTTGTCTGGCAGAGCTTCAATACCAGAGGCAGATGTGCGGTGGCCAAGAAAGTCGATGGAGCTTTGGCCAAGCTCGCATTTATCGGGGTTGACGGTAACCCCATGCTGCGTTAAGCGTTGGAAGAGTGCGTCGAGGTGACGAAGATGCTCCTCGTCAGAAGAGCTGGCGATAAGAATGTCATCTAGATAGGGATAAACGCCTTCGATTCCTCGCGTTACCTCATGAATGAAACGCTGAAAAGCTTGGGCAGCGTTGCTGAGGCCGAAAGGCATTCTGAGGTACTCGAATAGGCCGAATGGCGTGATGACTGCTGTTTTAGCAATGTCATCTGGCGTGACAGGTATCTGATGATAGGCGCGAACTAAGTCGACTTTGCTGAAGATAGACTTGCCAGCTAGAGCTGAGGTTAAGTCGTGCATGTGCGGGATAGGGTATTTATCCGGGACGGTAACTTTGTTAAGTGCCCTGTAGTCACCACAGGGGCGCCAATCACCGGATTTCTTCGGCACCATGTGTAATGGTGCTGCCCATGGACTTTTGGACGGGCGGATGATTCCCAGTTCGAGCATTTGCTCGAATTCCGCCTTCGCAGCTTTGAGCTTGTCCGGGGCTAGTCGGCGAGGGCGGGCCGAAACAGGTGGGCCCTTAGTGCAAATGTAATGCATGACGTTTGACGTCACAGGAGGCAAGTCGTTCAGGACGCGAACGAGTTTAGGGTGCTTGCTGAAAAGCTCTAGAAAAGACTGTGAAGCTTGAGGTAGGACACGAATGGGAGTGATAGCAGCCACGTTGGCGCTAGTCCCGATAACACTGAGCTGTGTCCTAGAGTCGATAAGCTTCTTCCTTTTGGCGTCGACGATGAGGTCGAAACGTTGAAGGAAGTCTATGCCTATGATGGCGAAAGGCACAGCAGCGATTATGAAAGGCCAGCGAAAAGTTCGCCGGAGGCCTAAATTGAGCGTTGGCAGCTTTTCGCCGAAAGTTGCGATTGGTGTGCCATTGGCGGCACGCAGCTTGGTCGGCGATGGTGAGACGACCTCATCTGAGCTACGGGGTATGACGCTAACTTCGGCACCAGTGTCGACTAGAAACTCGGTGCCGGAAGTTAAATCCCTAACGCGGATGAGGCGACTTTGGTGTTGGCCCGTCGCGTCCGTCGCCGTTACGGACCGGCCGCGAAGTTTTCCCTGCTTCTCGTCGAAGTTGCAAGGCTTGACACATTTACGAGCTGCGGTACCAAAACGCTGATGGTACCAACAGCAAGCCTGCCTGTTGTTAGACTTAGAACGTTTGCAGGGCGATTTTGATCGGCTATGACGACGACGGTCCATAGTAAGCTGCTGGACCTGGCGACTAAGTGTCGCGACTTGTGTTTGCAGGGCTTCTATAGTTGACTGTAAGCCAGTGATGGAAGTGCCCTGGGACGCGACGGCATTCATCTTGCTGGCGTCGACTTGTGGCTGTGATCGTTCAATAACTCGATCCGCTAAGTCTGCTAGTTGAGTGAGCGGAACGGAGCTCACTGTAGCGAGAATCGCTTGTGTGTTTTCCGGTAGCCGCTGTAGCCATAGTTCGCGAAGTAAAGTCTCGTCCATGGTTGATGAACCAAGGAGTTGCTGCATCTCGCGTAGCAGGGTTGAGGGCAGTTTGTCGCCCAGTTGCAGATCCCTGAAAAGCTGCTGCAGGCGAACTTTCTCAGAGGGCATAACACGCTTAATCGTGGCCTCCTTCAGAGCCTCATAGCGGTTATCGGTCTGAGAAATGATAACGTCACGAACCTGCGTTGATATCTCCTTGGGGAGATAGGACAGGAGCTTGCAATACTTCGCGTAGTCGGAAGTGATTCTGTGGTTATAAAACTCAGCCTCCAGATGAGCGAACCACAAAACAGGATCCATGTCCCAAAAAGGTGGAACTGAGAGAGATACAACACTAAGCATAGGCTCTACCTTATGGTCTACAGATTCCATGATTTGAAAAAATGACGCGAAAAAATAGGCTACCGTATGCAAAAATAAAACCGGAAAATATGAAAAATAAATGGAACGAGCTCACCGGAGAAAAGTTCGAAATATCCGGCGTTGAGATTGTTCCGGATCCGGGGTCACCAATTTATAGGGTTGCCTATTCCGGGAGCCCAGAGAGCGATTCCAGAAGACAGATCGAGTTGCAGGGAAACTTTTATTGGTTCAGCAAAAGATTCCCTGTTAGCTAGCTGTAAACGAACGACACCGTGGACGCTCTAGCTAGGGAAACGGAGCAGACACAGCACACAGAGCAGTCGCGCGTTGCAACCGAAGCGAGCGCCAAGCAAAAATGGCGATGAGCAAGTAAAGCATTCGAACTCAGCAATCAGTTCAACAAACCACACCGGTTGCCTAAGTGTACAATTATAGAATTTTGGTTAGAATTTTACACAAGCAAACCGGGGAATCTCCAGACTGCTACAGTGCTATGTATTGCAGGGAACCTTTTGATACACTCTTGTATAAATCCATTGCGTGGATACGACTCACCACTTAATGAGGTCACTGCTCAGTACTTCCCACTGGCTGTTGATCAGGGCCACATTTTTGATACATACACTACGTAGCTACTGCTCTGTCTTCACATTTCGTTACCATTTCACTTATTACGCTTTTATTGTTGATCTCTACACTACACACGCATGAACCCAGACTATCGTCACCACCCTAAGGATTTTGTTTCTTACCAGTAAATTTCCCATTTCTACAATTTCTACACCTTTTGCCATCGTAAGGCAAGGTGCCTGTTGCAAAACATAATTACCCGTAAAGTTTTGACCATATCTGCTATCGTGTGCCACGATAAATTCGAGAATAACCCATTTTTTGTTATCATAATGTAAATAATTTATCTATTTTTTGATCACGGCATGTAAATCCTAAACAAAATTTCTACTTTGATGCGTGTCACCGCGTTCGTCCGGCGTACCTAGTCAAACCGCACCTCTAAACTGCTTACCTGGAATGTAAGTGCCTCGGTCTGAGGTATTCCCACCTGCTCACTACAACTAAATGAACCGAACACGTGTAGAGTAGTAACATTTCACCAGCCTGCAATGCGAGAAGCCTAATAAAATATTGGATGAAATGGCTTAATTTCTTCTATGTAAGGGCTGCATGTCCATCAGCTTGCGATAAACGATAATTGTACATTAATTTATCGAATTTATACTTTGGACATGGTGTAATATACATATAATTAATGGACCACAATTTAATGTGTAGAAACAAATAATTTTTCCTTTGCATAGGTACGGAATGGTAAACACAAAGGTTTCTGATGAGCAAACGACGGCGAATGTGATAAATGTGCGCGCCTATGGCTGCATTTATCTTAATAAGAAAAAATGATGCGTTTCCACAGGCAAAATTTAGAAACTACTACGGCAAACAGAAATTGATCTCATCTAAAAAGGAATTTCAGCAAACCTTCAGTTAAACAGAATCATACAGAGATCTCAGTAATTCGAGGAAAACCTAGTGCAGTGAACAGATTTCCATAATCTAAAGACCAGCTAAACGCTTTTGCATACTATTTGTAAAATGACCTTCCATATATCCAGATAAATTGCAGACTTTTGGAATACTATCTTGCAGCGGGACCACACCTTCCTCCACTTGAGTCTGATGGTTTCCACTTGTCTCCTTTTTTCTTGATACATATGGTGAGGCACTGAGCCCTAACGAAGCAATGAACAGTTTTGATCAAGAAACAGTTTACTTCCTTTATGTCTTCTTTGTTCCTCCACTGCTTAGTCCGTGTTTTACGGCACTGTATGACAACGGCATATTTCCTCTTTGAGAATACAGGCAGCACGTCTCCCACCGTGTTCTCTCGTCCTCTGTTCCCACTAGCTGTATTGTAACAGTGTGTTGCGCGATTAATCGTGAATTTGCGTTCTTTGTTCTTCAGCTCAGATCTTTGTATCCTGCCTCTCGGACCATCGAGCGTTACAGCTTTGTCGATTGTGAAGAAAGGAAATTTACTAGGACATGGTATTCGAATCCGCCCGTCATCATGCCGGAAGTAAAACATTTTTCGTTCTGCCACCACCGATCTCTGAACAAAATTTCTCAGCTGGCACAAATTCAACTTCTTGGAGATAGCGAATGAAGTTGTATCTCAGTGCAGTTCCCCCTAGCACTGGCCCACAGAGCATTCTTTCTTAGCCTAGAAACCAAGATACAGGTTTTAATCATTTTTGGATTTTTCGCCGCCTTTTAGGGGATAAAATGTGGGAAACGTTGGTTTTGCTCTTTGATGAATGTTTGTGGCATGCCGGTACAAAGAACCCGGTTTGGTCAAGATGACCGGGCGTGGACGAATCTATGGACAACTACGTCATGTCACTTCGTACACTGGAGTTACGTGCCTTCGGAAACGCTTTATCCAACACCGAGGAAGCGCTTTATCTGAGCTCTTGAATAAAGTGGTTGAACCCCTTGTGCTTGACCTTTCTGCTTCCGTCAAAGATGCTTTCGCCGTCGGCCGCAAATAAGAAGCGATGATCCAAGCCACAAGACTGCCTCAGGTCTCTGGCTGCTCAACATCAAGCTCCCGGTACATATAAGCCATTATGTCCTCAAGGTCTTAGAAGCTGAAT